AACTAAATACATAGTTATGATGAGGAGGGGGGCCTCTTTTAAAATTGTGAATTTCATGGCCCCTGGTGTTAGGGTGGGGCTCTAATGGTAATATAGTGAAAATGCATTGATTCTTTGAAATCTTCTCCTCTGCTCCTGGGTATTAAGTCGATGTATTAAGAAGATAGTTATAATAAAGAAGGGTGCCTCTTCTAAAATTATTAATTTTATGGCCCTTGGGTCATTGAATATATAGTGAAATGGCATCATTTCTTTGAAAATCTTCTCGGTATATAGCAGATAAAGTTGGTGCATGGTTATGATGATTAAGGATGCCTCTTCTAAAATTGTGAAAGAACAAGGTAAGGTTTCAATACAAATCTTGCCCTGTGTTTTTCTTAAAAATGACAGTGATGTAAAAAATTAAAACTCATGCTTTCTGAATCATTGAAATTCCATGCAGAAAGATCTTGCAAATCATTTTTCTCACATGACCTTCTAAATGCTAATTGTGATGTCATAAACATGTGCATTTTCTCGTATTTTCTTAAAAAGTTGCAGAATTTTCCATGGAAATTTCTTTCAGATAATATTGTCCACAGACATCGCCCAGACAGATTTTGAGATATGTGATTTTTCAAAGAATTTTACACAACATATCCGAAAATTATAGTGGGCGATGGCTGTGGACATTATTTTCTTAAGGAAAATAACCCTTGAAATGGGTCATTTTGAGGCTTTTTCTGTTTAGAATAGAGAAATGCATCAAATTAATGACGTCATATTTCCGTGTGGTACTCCTTCATGCCATATTCTTTCCTGATTTATCACATTCATATACTCTATTAATATTTAAGCCAGTTTCAAAACATTTTGAAGACATTAAATTTTCAGGGCAAAATAAAGTCAAAAGTGTACCTTCTTCTTTGTTGCCCCATGGGCTCATGTAGGGGGTCTATTAAATGTAGTGTAATGCATTTCTTTTTTTATTGAAAATCTTCTCTGCCCCGGGGTATTTAACAGAAAAACTAATTGCATGGTTATGACGAGCAAGGAAATCTTTTCAAAAAAGTTAAAATTTATCACTCTGGGGTCAGGGATTTTGGTTTCAGGGTGAGGCTCTTTTGAATATATAGTAGAAATGCATTATTTCTTTGAAAATCTTCTTCTTTGCCCATTGTTATTAAAGAAACATACTAAGTAGATGGCTATGATGAGCAAGAGTGCCTCTTCCAAAATTATGAATACATGTATCTTGGCCCCTGGGTCAGGGGCATTGGTATAAGGGTGGGGCTATATTGAATCTGTAGTAAAAATTGATTATTTCCTTGAAAATCTTCTCTGCTCCTGGGCATGTAGGAAGCAAATAAAGTATATAAAGTTGTAATTAGCAGGGATGTTTTTTTTTTTTTTACCAAATTTTGAGATTCTGTACCCTTTGGTCATTTGTTTTAATTTCTACTGAAAGAAGATATCCCTCTTTGCTATTCACCTATAATACATGTAGTTAATCACTGTAAATAATGTAACTTTAAAGGTCAATTGAATAACAGAATTATACAAGAAATTTTATAATATTTGATACCAAAAGTACTTTCATAGTTTTTAATGGTCAGGTAAACTTTTAAATAATAGATAAATGAAAATGGGACAAAATTACATTATCTTTGTACAATAAATAATCTTTAAAGATCAAGAGAGGCCGATGCGAGGGGAATGAATTGTGTTAACTAATAATGCTCTACAACTGTTGTTTTTTTTAGTCCGCATGAGGATAGTGACAAATGGGGAGAGTAGAGGCAAATAAATAAATCAACTCTAAGATTTGCTATTGAGTACTAAATTAATATTTTGCTGATCCCTGATCATCCTATTTCTCTTGCTTTTGAGCAACAAAGCTTTATTCATCAGCTTATTTTGTTTAATATATATATGGATCATTACATTATACTCAGGTGACCGCTAAGGCCCTCTTCCAAAATTGTGAATTTCATGGCCCCAGGGTCAGGGGTTCTGGTGTTAATGCGGGACTCTAATGATTATATAGTGAAAATGCATTAATTCTTTAAAAATATCCTCTTCTGCTCCTGGGTATTAAGCCAGTGAACTAAGTACATAGTTATGATGAGGAAGAGTGCCTCTTCCAAAATTGTGAATTTCATTGCCCCTGGGTCAGGGCCGGCCGGGTTCTGGTGTTAGGGCGGACTCTAATGATTATATAGTGAAAATGCATTAATTCTTAAAAAACCTTCTCTGCTCCTGGGTATTAATCAAACAAAATGTATAGTTATGACGAGGAAAGGTGCTTCTTCCGAAATTATGAATTTCATGGCCCGTAGGTTAGGTTACTTCCGGTTTTAGGGTGGGGTTCTACTGATTATATAGTGAAATGCATTATTTCTATAAAAAAAATTTTCCTCTGCTCCTGGATATTAAGCCAATGAACTAAGTTCATGGTTATGATGAGGAAAGGTGCTTTTTCCAAAGTTGTTAATTTTATGGTTTGCGTGAGGTATAAATGTTTCTGACCCGTCCGTCAGTCAGTCATTCAGTCAGTCCGTCAGTCCTGTTTTTTTGTCAGTGCAACTCCTCATAAACCGCTGCACAGAATTTCGTCAAACTTTGAAAATATTTAGGACACAATGTGTAGATGTGCATATTACCAGGAAATTCTGATTCCTTTATTTTTTCTGGGAATTTTGGCACTTTTCAACTTGGATTTTTGGCCATATCTTGATTATAGAGATGGACAGTTTGTCAGCGCAACTCCTCTTAAACCGCTGCACAGAATTTGGTCAAACTTTGCAGATATTTAGGACACAATGTGTAGATGTGCATATTACCAGGAAATTCTGATTCCATTATTTTTCTGGGAATTTCGGCACATTTCAACTTAGATTTTTGGCCATATTTTTAATATAGAGATGAACAGTTTGTCAGCGCAACTCCTCTTAAACCGCTGGTTTGAAACATGAACCCAATTTAATTGTGGGAAAGTTGTTACATGACAGTCAGGTGACCTACGCAGTACAGTTAAGGTGCCAATAGAAATATCGACAAATTTTTGTGATTAAAAATGTATTCATAATCAAGATGGCGATTATTTTTAGTACATTATTTATATCGGACAAATGTAATTACGGTTAATAACTACATAATGAGGACGATTAGATTATATATTAAGACTTGTCACGTGATGCGGCAGTCATGTGATTTTAGCACATTTACTTGCAGTATTGAGGTTACCTATAAATTTCACTAGTGCAAGGGCATAACCAAGTTAAAATTCTAAGTTTAGTTTATAAATATTTTCAACATGCGTTGTAGTTTCTGAAAAGTGCTGCAATCCTATATAGATTCTGCTATTTCATTGTTAAAATCATATTTGTATGATGGTATGCTGTATTTTTTGCTGGTCAATGGCATTAAATATAGAAATAATTAAATTATTTTCAAGATTTCATCAAGATCGCAGCACTTTTCAGATACCTTAATACTTCTACAGTTGATTTGTAAAAGCTTACTATGATCCATTGAGTGTATGCCCTTGCACTAGATCGATTTATTAAGACCCTTACATTACCCTCCGATGTACTTGCATACGAATATATGGCAGTAACAATTGAATAGGAAATGTAAGGAAAATATATTAATAAAATCATAAAGGAGACACTGAATCCAAGTTAATGGCCTATGAAATATCTGTAAATAATATGATATTTAATTATAGAATACATTTTTCGTTGAGAAAATATTACTTGATCTGCCTCTCACTGCATACAAACTGCGTCAAGTTTTACGAAATGACGCCACACCGACGAGTGCATTGCGATCAGTGACTCGTTTATACCTTGTTATGTGGGATTTAACTAACGACAAAACAGCATGTTGTAGTAAGTTTTGATGTAGTTTGATGGTCTCCTACAGCTTAGAATAGCAAATCATTTTATTTTGTGGTATTTTTAAGAATTGTTGGTTTTGTATGATGTCATAGTTAATTATTCCCGTACAAATTAGGCTCCACCCTCTTTTTGTAGCCTTAACTGTGCTGTGTATAAGGACTCTGGCCTCTTGTTCTTATTAGCAACTGACATACATTTTCTAGAAGAGTTTTAAAGTCATATGGTATTTGGAGCAATCAATTTTCTTGATATTAACTTTTCCATTGATCTGAGGATGTTTTATAAATGAAAATCTGGTTGCTGAAAAATTTGACTTTTTTCTTTAAAATGAATTCTGAAGTTACAAATTTTGAATATGCAATCCTGGCCATGCATGACCATAAACTGAGAACAAACAAGTCAAAGTTTATGTCTTGAATATCTTGATTTATATTGAATAAGCATGTTTATAAAGTTGAAATTTTGTATAATAAAGATGCATTAAATGCGAAGCTTTCACATGATGAAAATTTTGTTTTATTTCAAACTATTTTTAAAGCTATACTTATTTGAAATTTTGACTTACAGGTGAGTCTGTTTTTAGGTTATGGTCTTGAGACCAGGAGTAGTAGATAGTCCCACATGGACCAAACTTGTAAATGTAGGCTTTTAAATATGTTTGAATACTGTTTGCCATTAATTTGTACTCATGTTTTCCAGATGAGAGATCAGGTTAAAGTGATACTGTCTAACTTTGCATATATTTCAGCAAAGAAAATTTCTGTGGGTAGTGGGGTGGAGTTAAATTTGTGGATGAGTAATTTCACTTACTATTTTATCTTTACCAGATTTTGCTGGTGTTTGAATTCATGCCATTATTCAGTTTGTCCTAAGTGCCCTAAACTTTAGGGATGTCAATTTGTCAATAATTATATCTGAATTCAACGAGTATTCAAATATATACATATCTGAATATTTGATAAAATAAATGTCTGTGTTTGGAGGTACGAATCATAGCACTGAAACATTTACATGTAGTAATGAAAGCAAAATTACCTTAATTACAGTGTTTTTCATTTGCAGCTGAAATAGGATCTTTTTAATACCTGAGAAATGAATATATACACTTTTATTTTTCAGGAATGATTTATTACTAATAAGAAAATTTTTGTCTGAAGTAACACTAAAGTCACAGAAAGAAAAAGAAGAGTTTTTCAGGTATCTCAAACTATACATATGATATAACAACTTTAGTTCTTATTTAACCAAAGAGATGTTTATTTCTTATGCCCCCATAATAGATGATTCAGGCTGTATAGTTTTTTGCCCTGTTCATCCGTCTGTCTGTCTGTCTGTTTGTCAAAAAAAAAAAACTTTAACCTTGCCCATAAGTTTTTATTGGTTGGAGCTATGGCTATCATATTTCATGTTTATTTCTTGTGACAAGACCTTTCTCTGGGTACCAACATATTTGACCTCTTCACCTTGAAGGTTGACTGACTTTTGCAAAAAACACCAAACTTTAACCTTGGCCATTACTTTTTACTAAGTGGTGGATGCTAGGGCTTTCATACTTCACATGTGTATTTATTTGACATGACCTTTCTTTTGGTATAAATATTTTTGACTATTTGACCTTGGTCTTGGAGTTTGACCCACTTTTTAAAAACTTTAACCTTGGCCATATCTTTTGAACAACTAGTACTAGGGCTTTCATTTTCACCAATGTATTTATTGTGACAAGACCTTCCTTTCGATACCAAAAATTTTTGAATTTTAGACCTTGGCTTAGGAGTTTGACCCAATTTTAAAAAACTCAAAAAATGGTCATATCTTTTGAACGGTACATATTGTCGTTTTGTACATATTGTCGTCGACGACAATATGTACCTACCCTCACGGCACATATTGTCGTCCATCGGTACATAATGTCGTCGGCTGAAAAGTTGTACATACACAGATATAGTTGCTTTAAGTTTTCTTTTGTTGTTTTTTTTGGTAGTTTTGTGAATATAATTGTTGAGTAAATCACACTGACGTGTCTCGTATGCTATTTCATGCAACGTGGTTGTGACAGTACATTTTGTCGTCCTGTTCATATTGTCGCCGGCAACAATGTATACCTTCCCTCATTGCGCATATTGTCGTCCATCAGAACATGTCACTTGACATGCACAAGAATGCTCCTTATAAATATGACTAATCTTTGCTTTGCTGTTTTTGAGAAGATATTTTTTAAAGAATATTTCCATGTATTCATATGTAAACTTTCGATCATCCATTATAACCCCACCCAAACCCGGGGGTCATGATTTGAAGATACTATAGATCACTATATTTTCGCGACACCTTTTTTTCGTTAGATAGCTATCTTGTATTTATTAGCGAGACAAAATTTTCGCAAGCAACGTTTTTGTTGTATATAATCTTTAACAATACAAATATACGTGAGAATGAAATTTTTGCAAACAGACTCACGTAATTATACGCGAAAATAAAGTTCTCACAAATAAAAAGGGATTAACAGTACTTGAATATACACTTCATAAGGATACTTCCATATAAACATCACTAATCACAGGCCTACTGCTGTTCCTCAGTGGTGGGTCTAAAAATTTCAGAATGGAGGGGGTGCGCTGTTTAGAATTTTTTTTGACAAGCAAAAAAGAGGCATTTGTGTGTAAAGTACAGCGCCACAGCAAAAGTATTCACGATTTTTAAAAATGGCGGCGGCTTACTGGTGCGCGTCTCAATTAGGAAAAGAGCGATAACTCTATGGAAAATACAAGTTATCCTTTTATTTTTTTACTGAGTTATCTTTATGTAGGAAATGATGTAATTTTATATTAAATTGTCATCTGCACTTTCTAAAGTGAATGTAAACAAGCAGAATTTAACCATGCATCGCAAATCTTGTGAGCTGAGTGAGGAAACTAAAAATCTTTCGTAACTTTGAAAAATGAGAAGCACAAAACTTCAGAAATCGTTCGTCTGTTGAATATTAGTGAATCTACCATTAGATACGTTTGGAATAAGTATATTCAACGGGGAACTGTGGAAAATTTACCTCGAGTTGGTAGACCTCGAAAGTTGTCACACAGAGAAGAAAACTGGATTATGCGGACGGTCAAAAGCAACAGATACAGGACCTTAAATGATGTTACGTTGGATTTAAATGAAGGAAATTGCTCTACAGAAACTGTTCATAAATGTACAGTCCAGAGATTTCTTAGGAAAAAAGGATATCAACGAAAAGTTGTACGAAAATGCATGGTTATAATACGTGAAGTTAATCGAAAAAAGTGATTATCTTGGTGTTTAGGGAAACGACGACTGACAGTGGAACAATATTGGCAAAATATCATATTTTCTGACAAAAGTCAAGTTGTCACTGGAGATAATCACAGGGTTTATGTCTGGAGAAAAGCAAATAAGGCACATCTACCTCAGTGCATGTGCTCTCCTGGTAAATGTCGGATTTCAGTTATGGTGTGAGGATGTATTACTTACGAAGGTGTAGGTACTTTGTGCCTTGTTGATGGCAACATAACTGCTCAAAAGTATATTGACATTCTCGACGAACATTTGTGGCCAGTTATAGCGAGGCATTTTCCCAATAAAGCTTACCTATTTCAAGATGACAATGCACCCTTGCACAGAGCCAGGATTACGTGTCAATATAAGACAAACAACAGCATTCCTTCCATCACATGGCCGGCACAGTCCCCGGACATCAATATAATTGAAAATATTTGGTTGAAATTAAAACGTTCACTTCAATACACGACCAGAGACATCAAATCCCGAGATGAACTTTTTAATGCAATACTTGACATTTGGCAAAACATTTCCCCTGAGTATGTAAAAAACCTATACCTATCGATTCCCCGTCGGATCCAGGCCGTAATAAGATCCAAAGGTCAACTCACAAAATATTGAGAAAAGTAAGTCAGTTTTTCATACTTTTTTAATAGTTTAATATTTTTTGTGCATCCTTGTTTATGGCAGCCATTTTGAAGAATCGCGAATACTTTTGCTATGGCGCTGTATGTACTGCATATGTTCGATAAATAATTCAATTATGAAATTTTACCTGTGGACTAAATTGAGAGTATATACAAGTTAATTAAACAGAATTTACCAAAGGAAAAAAATTCAAACCATCGGGCAGTGGGTGTGGTTGTGGAGGGATGCACCGGTGGTCCATCTGTCTGGTTTTGGGAAGATTTTTTAAAAGATTTTCTGTATATATTCCTATGTAAAATTTTGATCATCCATTATGACCCCACCCTGCCCCTGGGGTCTTGATTTGAACAAAATTGATTTTGTTTGTTTGTTGTTATAAAGTCCATTTCGAGAATTTTTCCATTCGAATGTAGACGTCACCACTTGCCGATGGAGGGCTACAAATTTAGACCTATACTTGGCACTCATGGTCATTGAGCAGTGAGGGGTCTTTCGTACCAGCACCTGAAAATTAACTATGCTTTGTAATGAAGCTTTCACATAAGCATCATCTCTTCTGACCAAGTAGTTCTTGAAAAAAGATTATGAAAGATTTTTTTTCTAAATATTCTGTGAAAAAATTTGATGACCTTTTGTAGCCACAGCCTTCCCCCCATCTGAATAAAACTGAATCTACACTTCATAATGAAGCTTTCACATAAGTTTCAGTTTTTCTGACACAGTGGTTCTTGAGAAGATTTTTAAAAGATTTCACTAAGTTTTCACTAATTTTTAACTACTTCCCTTGAAAGACGACATGACCCTTCATTTTAACAAACTTTAACCCTCTTTATCTACTGATGCTTTATGGCAAGTTTGGTTGAAATTGGCCCAGTAGTTCTTGAGAGGAAGCTGAAATTGTGAAAAGTTTACAGACAGAGGGAAGGTCAGACAAAATGTGATCAGCAAAGCTCACTTGAGCTTCCAGTTCAGGTGATCTCAAAATGTCAACCCCAACACCAATTATATCGGCATATAATTGTATATTGGAATACATGTAAAAGATAATTTCCAAATAATCATTAGTACTGAGCAAAAAACTAATACATGTATTCAATCTCCAAGAAAAAAAGAGTAGGCTGATTTATCATATATCTCAAGAATTGTGGTATCTTGACACATCATAGTGATGTAAATCAATCCTGAGCACTATTTTCTGACCAAAAAATTATCTCCCTACAGTATTGCTAGTAATGCTGTCTGTCTCCCTCCGTGCGTGTGTTTGTGTTTGTCAATCTCTCTTTCCTTTCTGAAGTAAATATTCGTCAAAACAATATATCGATGACAATATATGCCAATCTTGACTGTACATATTGTCACCGCTGACAATATGTGCTGGTGCTTGACTGTACGTTTTGTTGTCCATTATGCAGGAGAAAAATAAGGCTCGTCTCAGTACATATTGTCGTCGGCAACAATATGTACTGATGGACGACAGTATGTGCAGTGAGGGTAGGTACATATTGTCGCCAATGACAATATGTACAAAACAACAATATGAACTGTCACAGACCTTCCTTTACATACCAACAATTTTGACTTTTTGACCTTGACTTAGAAGTTTGACCTAATTTTGAAAAAACGTTATCCTTGGCCATAACTTTTGAACAGTTGGTGCTAGGGCTTTCATATTTAACATTTGTATTTCATGTGACAATACCTTCTCCCTGGGTATCATTAATTTTGTCCCTTTGACTTTGACTTGGAGTTTGAGCACTTTTGAAAAAAAACTTTAACCTTGGCCAGAACTTTTGATCGGTTGGTGCTTTGGCTTTATTATTTCACGTTATAGTCATTGAGAAAAGTCCTTTCTTTGGGTAACAACATTTTTGATCTCTTGACTTGACCTTGGAGTTTGACTTGCATTTGAGAAACTCTAACTTTTGCCTTAAGCTGCCATATGGGAGCATCAGTCTTTCACAAACACCTCTTATTTTTATATTTAGTGAACTTTCCTTTCTTTTTATATGCCCGTCTTAAGACGGGACAAATTATGTTATGGTGTTCATGTCCGTCCGTCCGTCTGTCTGTCTGTTAGCTTTTTCATGTCAGGCTTATAACTTTAATACTATTAGGCCTAGAATTATCATACTTTGTCAGCTGATACATCTTAGGTAGAGGGTGTGTCGCACATTAGAAGTAGGTTGCCCTGAACTTTAATAAAGATAATATGGCCAAATGTGGAAAAATCCCGTCCGGCTCATAACTAGAAA